CCGTTTGATGTAAATATTTGCAGTAGATCGCACCTATACTTTTGTAGGTCAAGCTATTGTCGTTGGCCTGTGACTTATTTCTAACAGAGGCAATAAAATTATTTGCAACAACTAAATTTGAACAATAAAAGCAAATTGCGTTGCTATTTTGGAGTTTACAACAAAACATTGCAAATTTGATTCATTGTAAATTATTAAGGTTATTTTGTTATTTATATTGGTTTTTTTTTCTTATCTGTAATATATTGCTTATAAGATGGAATAGGAATATAGCTTGAACAAAGTTTTTGTAGGCAGTGACTTTGAGAGGGTAACTAGCAAAAAGGTTTCATCCTAATTTCTCTAAACATTATCTTTGTATCAAGCATTTTGTATTAAAAATTATAAATGATTTTACTTCGTTAGAATTTTGATATTATCCATTAACTAGATTTTTGTAGCTATATGTGCTTATTGAGTTTTATTTAAGACTTCTCTGTTTCATAATGAACTTACATAAACGGATGATTTAAACGCAGAAAGAATTTTCAACTGATTCAATAACAAAATTATGCATACACTTTTCCAGCATAGCACCTGTCGTTCTTAAGCCTAACCTTTGAACACTTACATCTCCGCAATAATAGAGGTTCATAATCTTTATAAAAGTAAAAGCGCTTTACTAAATAAGCAAATTTTATATTTGAAGAGCTATATTTCGCTTCGGAAGCAAATTCGATGCAACAACATTTATCTGTTATGAAATAATAAATTCTTTCATGTTTCGGTAGTATAGATATTCTTCTTGTTTTTATACTCTCGCAACCTGTTGCTACAAGTATAATAGTTTTGTTCACCAACGGTGTTTTGCACCTAAAACTAATCGAGTTATATATTATATAAATATCAGGATGAAGAGACGAGTTGAAATCCGGGTGATCTCCGTCCGTCCGTCTGTTCTCGTCCGTCCGTCTTCCGTCCGTGCTAAGCTCTAACTTGAGTAAAATTGAGATATTTTTATGAAACTTGGTAGACATGTTTCATGGTACCGTGTTGGTATTGCAGATGGGCGTAATCGGACCACTGCCACGCCCACAAAACGCCAATAATCAAAAACAAATAAATTGCCATAACTAAGCTCCGAATAAGTTACAAGACTGTTATTTGGTACACGAGATCACATTAGGAGGGCATCTGCATTACATTTTTAGTGGGCGTGGTCCGCCCCTAATAGGTTTAATGTGCATATCTCCTAAACTACTAAAGCTATAATAACAAAGTTCACTGGAAGCAAATTTTTAGACCTCTATTGACGGTGTGAAAATGGGTGAAATCAGGTGACAACCCCCCCACTCCCCATATAACGGTACTGTTAAAAATACTAAAGCGCGATAAACCAAGCACTAAACACGCCAGAGACATTAATTTTATCTCTGGATGGTATGAGATGACTATATGGAACCGCGTTCAAATAAGTCAGTCGTAGCCACAGAAAACATATCTTGGGATGCTTAACCGATTTCTACAATCGGTGCATAACGTTCTTTTTATATGTCTATGTTATATTGCGAAAATGGGCTAAATCGGACTACGACCACGCCTATTTCCCATATAACACCATTTTCAATTCCATCTGATTCTTTCACTTTCCACTACGCATATCAAGCAACAATGATTATATCGGGGTAAAACTTTGCGTGAATAATGCGATTAAAGTATGCCACCTTGTGACCAAAAATTGTCTAAATCGAACCAAAGCTGTTCAAGCCCCTGAGTACTAGATATGTGGACCCTAGTGCCTATAGTTGACCTTCTACCGAAAATATCGGTCAATCCACAAATCTCAAACGAGTATACCATTTGCTTTGCGAGCACTTCCTTACTTGTTTAATTAGCCTTTAGACTAATTACTAGCCCCATGTGTTTCTCAACTTGTTGAAACAATACTTTTCGGCACATTCAACGTTGTTTCTGGTTATATGGTTTTCATTACGGACTTTTGACACGTTTTTATTTTATAAGTGGTTCGAATGACAAATTGTAAGTAGGCTATGATTGTTCTTTTTTCACTGCTGCCAGACTGTGTAAACAGCTGTTACAATGTGTTTGATTCACTACTCTCTAATACGCGATGAATCGAAGACAGCTAATTTTACTATTTTAGGTCATAACTACAGAGCAAAAGCAACGTATTACTAAAGCTGATCAAATTTGACCCATAAATCTAAACAAAGAAATGATCTCAACGTCTCTTATAAAAAACTAAACAATTTTGGTTGATGTTTTGAGTATGAAGCGTTTCAAGCCTAGACTCCTAGTAAAATATCTGAAGCTTTTGCAAAAACGACGCTGAATCAAGGTCGCAAAACAGAAGCTTGACAATAGGTACCCTACTTTTAACAAACGTATTCAATAATAACAGCACTTGTGGGTTTTGAATATGTCGTTGAAACTGTTACCGGAAAATTAGATAATGCGTTGGTATGCTTATATTGACCTGAAAGGAGCCTATTTTGAGGGCGATAACAAAGGTTTGTAAAAAAGTAGTTTTTTTTTTATCTGTCCGAGTCAAATTTGATGAGATTGTACACTTGATAGTTTGGTATACGTAATGATTCTTTTGTCATAATTCTAGGTACTCACTTTATATGAAGATGATTTCTAGATAAATTATATTTTGGGCGCATTATATTTCTTAAACTGAAAATCTTCCGACAATGATTTTTAGAGTTGCAGCTTTAGATTCCAAAAGAAAAAAACCATGGCAACCCACGACAAAGTGCTATAGCTTGCACTGCATACATACTATGCTTCAGTTTAATGCAGTTGTGTATTTTTCAACCGCAGTGATTCAGTAACAAAAAGAGAACTCAAAACAATACACCCTCAATTGGCACGCAAAGCTCACCACAGACACGCAAACAGCAGCACCATTTTAAAAAGCTCCTTAATATTCATTTATCTGCATATAGTTGTTTAACCAAAGAGATTAAAAAAAATGTTTTTTCTCTTTGTTACATGGAAGCTATTATTTACTCCTAGGGAGCATTGCATTAGCTAGAAAGAATGAGTGCTCTGTCAGTTTCAAGCAAATAACAGGCAGAGGAACTTGCATTATCAGCAAATTCGTAAGCAAATATTTTGTTCACACTTTGTTGCATTCTTGAGATACGAGCAACAGCAAGTAGCTACTGCAACCCGAAATTGCCACTTATTATTCTTCAGTATCTACTATAGCAGCAAATATTACAAAATACATGCTGAAGCTTTCGATATTCACTGCAAAGCATATTTCCAAACAAAGTTATGTTGCAATGTACGGATGAACCGAGTTGACGGTAATTGTCTCTATTTTTGGCTGAACATGAAGTTTTAACAAATAAAGTGTTCATTTTTTGAGACTACAAATTTGATTGACCAGCTAGTGAGGATCTAAACTGGAAATGAAATTAATCTTTATAAATACGTACATTCATTATTTCTTTTCGTCATTCCTGGTAACTAGTAACAGTTTTAATTTGAAAATGCTTGGACTCTTAACAACTATCAATTCTTATATCAAATTTATGCAATAAAGTTTTCATATTTCCAACGAAACAGTAAAAAAATTAACCTAGTTATTGGCAATTATTTGTACATGTAAGTAAGGTTATAAAGTATGGGATGGCTGTTTGCCATTCTCATTATGGATTCATAAAAGATTCGTGTAAAAAATTATTTAATAATATTTGTATGCCTAAAATTAAAGTGATTCTAGAACTTTCTGTTGAGTTCTCCAAAATTTAGGTAGAGCAAAATCAGCCGAGAACATATATTTTGAGAGTATTTATCATTCAGTAAATGAGTCAGAATATTTTACAAAATATACTCTTTCAACTTCTTCAGGAATTCCTTTGTAATGTTGGAAAAAATATGAATGTTGTTCGTTGCAAGTAGCGAGTAACGAATAACACATAACATAGTTGGTTATCTAAGGTATGAAATAATATCAGCTGTTGGCTTAAGGGATTACTCTTCCTTAGAGCGTCGAAAAAATTTACTATTTGAATTTTTTTTCGAAAAAACCACAAAAAAAGGAAATTATCTTAACGGCGTTATTTCTACTCACGTAATCGAAAGTCTATGAAATTGCTTGTAAAAGACATTGGAATTTTTTATATTATAATTATATCACATGTTAAAGAAACCAAAACAAAAAGTTAACTTCGACTGCACCGTAGCTATAACACCCTTCACAGATGCATTTTTTGTAGCATTAAAGGGTAAAAAAAGATTTTTAACTTGACTTGGACTTGACTTGACTCTGTTTAAAAGCAGCTACATGCTATGTTTGTCCAATCTAAGCAATTTATTCGGAGAGATTGTGCCAAATTTCGCAAAGCTACCTTGTCAAATAATATAGTTTTCCGAACAAGGGCTTATATTAGATCAGTCAGTTTATATGGCAGGTATATCCTATAGCGGTCCGATACGGAAATGTGCAAAATTTCATATGGATATCCCGAAAAATGAGGGACTAGTTCGCGTATTGGTATATACAGACGGACTTGGCTAAATCGACCTAGTTCGTCTCGCTAATCGGTTATATTTGTACTTTGTAGGGGCTCCAACGCTTATATTTGGGTGTCGGAATACCGAAAGCACTCCAATTACATCAGCGTTTTTACTATTTTTGTGGGCGTGCCGAATCAGCTCAATTGGCCAACGTGGAGTTATACTTGTAGGAACCTATTTTTAAGACATTGGGTAGCTTTGAATTAAGCAATCATATTTTCAATTTTTGGTTGAAGTCTTTACGCTGCAATATTCTGTAAAAACTCAAAACAGCGCTATTTCTGTTATAGAAAAAGTGAGTACTTACTGGTTTGTTATGATTTTAATAAATTTGTACTGGTATAATTTGTGTCTGCAATATATGTGATTGTAAAAATACTTGTTGAAATACTATATCTTGAAATATTTTTGTTATAGAAACATATTTAAACTCAAGTCTTAAGTATTTGTTTTTATTTCCATTACAGCAACTGGTCAATCATATCATAGTTTCAAAAATCTCTCTTTGATAGATGAAATAATCAAATTCAACGGTTTCAATTCAACTAAACAATCTCCATTGTATAGCTTTGCTAAATTTAGGCATGTAAACAAGTAGATCGATAGCAACTCCCCGATGAGACATATATCCCACGAAAGTCTGAAACCAACAACTTGAATTACAACAAGATTAATTGCCACGAATCCCAGTTCGGATATGACGGTGATTAAGTGCAATAAATGAAATGGCACGAGCAACAAATGAGATGACCGAAAAACTAACAAAAAAACCACATGACGAACAGAAAATGCAAAAACAAAACCAAAGTTAAATTGCACAAAAACCCACTAAATAAACCGGAGAATCAAGCTAAATTGATTTAGATGTGAGGCTTCCTCAGTTTACTACGAAAATATGCGCACACAATGTGTAATGTTACAATTATGATTAATGACAAACAGATTAGATGCGACTAAATCAAACGATAAAACGAAATTTAAGCGAAAGAACAGCGGGAAAAACGTTAACGAGAAAATATCAACAACCACTTGGGCTTAGTGTGAAGCGAGCGCATGAAGCATGAATCGATACAAAGTCACAGAAGCCACAACGCAATTGCGAGCGAAAGATAAACAAATCCCGGAGGTAAGCGGGAGATAAATGGATTTACGGAATTTGCCGAGCCAACTGAAAGCGCTGGCTTTGAAAGCACAAAAGCCTGCGCGCCGTATATGCTTCCACACAAAGCACGTGAAAAATCTACTGGTCGACTAAGGCGACTTTGCGCGCCTTGGTTTTACAACAAAAACAAAACTGAATTGTAATTAACTAGTCAAGTTAGAGTAAGTACACAAAAAGCTTAATTTGAGTTTACAAGTGAGTTTTCTAAAAATTTCCCCCAGTCCAATTTTTTCTAATTTCCGCATAGTCCTACTCACACTCATTCATACATCGATTTTAATTTGAATACTTATACAACCCTATTCATTTTTTATATGGCTTCATACACACAGTCGGACGTCCGTCAACTGCAACAACACTATTGCGAAACAAATACACCTACAAAACATAAATACATCACATACACGCTGCCAAAGCGCTTTGCGTTTACAGTTCACCCAAACAACACCACCGCAAATAATAGCAACAGCAGCAACACACGCAGCAAATTGTTACAACGCGCGCAGCCTAGCCCGCGAGCACTGTGCCACACGCTACATGCTACTGTCCTTCTACTGCTCACTCTCCCGCTTAGCAATTGGCTAGCGCAGGCTTCAGCTGCCGCCACTGTCACCGCTACACAAGAGCGCCACCACCCGCTGCCGGATAGTAAGCCCACAAATACAGCGTTGAGCGGCGGCGCGGGCATTACGTATAACGCGCCTGACACGGCGGTACCAGTGAGCGATAGTGCTGATGATTTCAATAGCAGCGCATTTAGCACGAACTTAATTTCCATTGCCGATGTAATCAGTCTTACGTCAACGTTCTCAAACGTTAGCGGGAGTGGCGCGCTGAACGGTAGCAGTCAAAATGACAACAGTATTAGCGCGAGTTATGCGGGCGCTGGTAGCGGCAGCGGCGGTGGTGCAAGCGCCGCGCTCATCACAACTAGCAGCGTTTGGGATCCCATGGTTGGCGCACACCCCACCGACGTTAGCGCCGCCGCAACATCGCCGTCGGAGCAGGGATCGAACCAAGACGAGTTCGGCGAAATTGAGCTGCCGCCATGGCAAGCGATTATTGTCAGCATCGTGCTATTGCTCATCATCATCGGCACTGTAATTGGCAATGTGCTGGTCTGCATTGCCGTTTGCATGGTCCGTAAGCTGCGCCGTCCCTGCAACTATCTGCTCGTTTCGTTGGCGCTCTCTGATCTCTGTGTTGCGCTGCTGGTCATGCCAATGGCTATGCTGTACGAGGTGTTGGACAAGTGGAATTTCGGTCCCATACTCTGCGACATTTGGGTGTCGTTTGATGTACTCTGCTGCACTGCCTCCATATTGAATTTGTGCGCCATTTCGGTGGATCGCTATTTGGCCATTACGAAGCCGCTAGAGTATGGCGTCAAGCGTACACCGCGTCGCATGATGGCTTGCGTTGCGCTGGTGTGGTTGGTGGCGGCGAGCATTTCGCTACCGCCACTCCTCATACTGGGCAACGAGCATGCGGACGAGCACGGCACACCCATCTGTATTGTCTGTCAGAATTTTGCATATCAAATCTATGCAACACTCGGTTCCTTTTACATACCGCTCTCTGTGATGCTCTTTGTGTACTATCAAATATTCCGCGCCGCTAGGCGCATAGTTCTCGAGGAGAAGCGCGCACAAACACATTTGCAGCATGCGCTCAACGGCACCGGCTCGCCGCCCGGCAATACAGACCTAACGGTGATGGGTAGCGGCAATGGACAACGCCACAGCAGTTATGGTAACACCTCGCTCACATATTCTACTTGCGGCGGGCTGAGTGCGCATCATACTAGCGGTAGTGGCGGAGCCGTGAGTGGCACCAGCGGTCTGCTCGGCTCACCGCATCAAAAGAAGTTGCGTTTCCAATTAGCCAAAGAGAAAAAAGCTTCCACTACGTTGGGCATAATTATGTCGGCTTTCACCATATGCTGGCTGCCATTCTTTATACTCGCACTGATACGACCCTTTGTCGAATCGGAAACTGTGCATGTGCCAGCCTCGCTGGCCTCACTCTTCCTCTGGTTGGGCTATGCCAACTCATTGCTCAATCCCATAATTTACGCCACACTGAATAGAGATTTCCGCAAACCCTTCCAGGAAATACTTTATTTCCGCTGCTCGAGTCTCAATACAATGATGCGTGAAAACTACTACCAGGATCAGTATGGAGAGCCGCCGTCGCAGCGGGTGATGTTGGGCGATGAGCGGCATGGCGCGCGGGAGAGTTTTCTCTGAAATTAGGCAGTCTAAGGGCGGCATGTGAGTGGGCAAGTATAAGCGTGGGCCGTAGGTAGGCGTGTCGGCACTAGACTCTATTAGTTTATCTAATTTAAGACTAAATAAGTTTCTTTCATGTGTGTGCATGTGTAAGTATGTGTATTTGTAGGTGTATTTGTATTCTCAGTGTTTCAAAGCGTTTTAAAGCAATTGTAAGCGTTTCAAAGTGACAATTCAAATGTAACATATATGAGGCATATACTTTATTGTATAAATTAACAAAAAACATAAAGAAACAAAAACAACAACAAACAAAGCTGATTAATTGAAAAATAAGAGTAGCCATAAAGAAAGTAAGCGGGAAAGATGGGGCTAGTGGACTAGTTAGAGCTCATAAAGTTACTAAAAATAATCACAATACAAATGTGTAAATATATATGTACAATTATGGTTTTAATATGTGTTTAAGCAGCTGCTCTATATTGAACTGAAGTAAATTAAATTAGCGTACACCTAAGCTCACCTACTACTAAGTACTAATGTTTTAAAAACTGCAAATAAAATTGATAAGATGTATGTATGTATATGGAAAACAAAGCGATACTGCAAGTGTAACTACAATTATCTGTGCGTATTTCTTGTGAATGTTAGTTAATAATTACTAATTCCTAGTTTTAAGGCAGCAAAACAAACTACTAACTTGTGTTTATACTTTTCGTAACTGTTAAGTGCTGGAAATGCATATATAAATACAATCAAAAGAAACTGAAATTTGAAAATGTAGTACAAGTCATCAGATACATAATTACACACAACTACATTCATACGTATATACATACATATTATTATATGGTAAAAGGCAAGAAAAATTTACAACTTTTGTAGAAATGAAACTACAACTTTAACAATTTAGTTTGATAATTACTCTTCTTCTTATTTCCATCCTCCCATAAACACAACTCTGGAAATTCTTTACAAAGCGATGCTAACCTCAATTCTGCAATACGCTCAGGTACATGAATGAGGAGCTCATGAGCAATGAAATATTTTTTGTTTAAACCTGAGTAAATTATAGCTATGATTTACTCACAAAATTAAAATTCAAAGAATAATGTTTGTATATCCAAAACTGTATATTCTAAAATCTTATGCGATTCTCACTTAATGACATACTTAACCAATTTGCTGCTTTTGAAAAAGCTCTTACAATTAAATTCATTACTGATTCTAAGTTCGGAAATTCCCCTATAAAAATCGAAGAAAAAAGAGTTGGAGTCAACATTATCTAACTCTATCTCTCTCTTTCTCTGCCTGAGAAATAGAAAATGACTTGTGTTGTAAATGGTTAAAAAGTGAGCAAAGTTCAGAGAAGCAGTTGTATTCTGCCGATAGTATTAAGCTATGGTATTCCGAGTTCACAGTCTGTGCGTGAAATATAAGGTTATGCCGACCACTGTTTTAGAGTTCTTGACAGAGCTTAAATAGCGTTGCTGGGAGAGTCCGAAATGAACTGATGAGATCATCAAAATAGCAATGGGAACATCATAATTCGAATAACGACATTAATAAGTAGCGATCATGTCCCGTAATGAAAAAGCAAACCTTAAGGCTTGAAAAACTTCTGATAAAGTCCACTAGCTATTCAGGGTGCGCCTTGCAACGGTGAGCTTTCCGACGCTCTCAGCTGACATCAAGGCAGAGAACTTAAGTAAGAGGAGAAATTGAGCGTTAGTAATACTTAAGTGTTGTCAAAGAAATCCCAGCTTAACATTTGTAGATATTAATCTCAGAAAGCTTGGTATATAGGAATTTTCGAAGTATGATGGTGCCCGTATAGCCTCTTATACAAGGGTTGCTTCACTCCATAAAATTACATTGAATCTTGAAAATAGTGAACAGACTTCTTTATTAGGAATTTACTGAATATATTTATTACGATGCTTTGTTCGACTATTTGCTATTTTTTGGGATATCTTCAATCTAGAGAGATTCCTCCCATGCCAAATTTCTGTCTGTTTGTATATCATAAATATACATATACATACTGGTTGGTTGAAAAGTTTCTGCGCCCGAAATGAAAAAATACTGTTTTTGATACGAAATATATTTGATTATTCAATATAATCACCTTTAACTTTAATACATTTATTCCAATGATCCTTCAATAATTTTATGCCATCCCTACAATGACTTTCCAGAAGCTCTGCAAAATACCCGTTTACGGCTGTAATTCGACGAAAAACGTTTTCCATGAATGAATGGTTTCAGGTTTCTGAAAAGGTAGTTGTCGCTGGGAGCCAAATTCTTAAAGTACGAATTCGTTGAATTTTGTCAGTGTTAAAACATCTTTGTGAGCAGGTGCATTGTCTTGATAAATTATGATTTTTTTGAGCTGTAAGCCACATGTGCAAGCACAAACTTTCCAAACAGCTTTTTCGTATGTAATTTCCATGTATATAATATAATTACTCGGTCATCTGAGATGCCTATGGTATTCACTAACAATATTATGGACTTGCTAAATGATTTCTGGTGTAGTTGCGGTTTTTGGTCGTCCTTCGCGTGTATGGACGACCACATTCACTAGCTCAAAATTCAAGGATATTTATTGAAGATGAGGACTCCTTATACTCTTTTAAAAAATGTATATAAATTTCTATTTGCTTTTAAACCTTTTGAAACAAAGAATGTAACCACTTCGCGATATGCAATTTTTTCCATATTAAAAAAATACACTGACACGTCTACTTCAAATGGCTTGTAAACAAAGAATTAATTGACAGAATGACTTGTAACCTTGCATGTTTTCGCCAGATGTACCAACTTGAGGAAAAAAATTTCTTTCTATTTTTATATCTATTTCTTGGTGAGAGCAGAAACTTTTCAACCAATATTTCCACCTCACAATCACGCTCATCCATAAAAATTAAAGCAATTTCGTAAGTATTTTTCTATTTTAAGGAATATATGACTTATGTAATTACAACAATAAAATATGAAGTGTATGTGTATAATAATTAGAAAACTTGCTGAAGCTGTTCTAAACAACCAAAAATATAGCACTAAATTAGAAAATTTATTTTAATATATATTTTTTGTTGTTTATATAAAATTGGTAGTTTTTTGATAATGTCGATTATAAAACGACATTCGTATCTAATTAAAGTTATTGATATTTTTGGCGTTTCCAAAAAATGTTTGTGCATTCGACAAAAATTTTGCGAATATTCTATATTTTTCCAAATTTTGTTATTGTGTAAATTTTACTAGTATTTATGAACCATTTAATGGTGACTTATGTAATTTCGTGTAACTGTATTATAAAAATACATTTTAATTCGTTTTAAATAAAGAAAATTTGCCATAAAGCCAAATAAAGAAATTCTAACCAAACGTATATGTGTATAAATATGTTAAACGAAAACAATGTATTTATATTTTTAGTAAATTTTTTTAAATAATTTTTTATACAAAAGGTTTTTTGTTTTTAGTCATATTACTGCTGAATTAAAATAAAATTAATTGATATTGTATTTCTTTGTAAATAAAAACTAATATATTTAACTACCAATAAAAAAGATATTATTATTGTAAAAAGAGCAGAAAAGTGTTAAAATATATATAGATATGTGTGAAGTATACATTTGTTAAGTTCAAAGTCTCTTTATAGAAGTCACGTCTCTCTGTGATACAAATTTTAAGGTTAATTTTATTAAATGAAAATTTTATAGAAAGAAATAAAAGCAAAATAATAAAGTAGAAATATGAGAGCATACAATTAAAAGTAGCTACTTACTGTTATTTGGTAAAGATTTAAGTAAAAAAAATAAATAAAATTAATGAGAAAAAGCAAAAAAGCTGTCAAAAGCGAGAATAGAATAAATGTGAAAGAATTGAAATAAATAAATATTTAAATAAAATTTTAAAAAACAACAAAACACAAAAATGTTCACTGAAAAAGTCATCTTGATAACTGATAAGATGAAGAAGCATGCCATCAAATCATTGTAGCAAAGCAATTAAATACGCATTCATATATACATACATATATATGAGCATATGTATATACAAAAATAGTATTATAATTAAACATTCATGTGTTAATCAAAAAATCACTCATAGCTAGCACACACACATAGTAGCTATATACATATGTACATATACATATATATATAACGGCATTGATACGAGTATTACATGCTAAAATATTTTACATCTTCCATACTTTCATAGTTGACTTTCAGATTTCTATATATGTGCAAAAAAGTAAAATACTGAAAAGCCTCTTTCACTTTCTACGAACTACATAAGCTTGCAAGTGCTACAGAGTGGCTAAAGTGCAAGTTATTCATAATCAAAAGCAAGATGAGCAGGTTAGATTATAATTATTATCAAACGAATGAAAATGGGACTCTTCTAAGCATAGGCCTCTAATTTTCATCCAGTTTATATATACATTTTTTTTTAAGATTAAAAAATGGCGATTCGTTCTTAAAATTCTGAAT